TAAATTCCACCAAGTCAAAGAATTTTAAGAGTTTTGAATGTAGAAATAAGTTATTTGTGTGATCATAAAATCCTGCCTTATGAATAATTCTTACTGCTCCTTCCATAGACTTTCAATTGGTTCCAGATTGGTGCTTGTAGAAAACTACTTCAGACTAGTCCAGTGTTTGGACTTGGATGAATCTAGTCTTGGTGCGTTAAGCTGTTTGTCATTCAGCTCATTCTAATGCTGGAGGACGAATGACCTGAGACGGAGACCAAGGGTCTTTCTCAGGGTCAAGACGCCTGGCCAAGCAAGACATCACCTGCTAGGCCAGGCTCCTTGCTTGCTAGGACACAGCCCTTCCTCGGTCAAAGAAAATGGTTAAATGGAACAGACGTACATCATGTGAGATAACGTTGTCGTGTGCCCGTCCCATTTACCGGTTCCTTTAAAACCCAGTTCCGTTAGAACTTATGAGACGGTGCATCCATCAGGGTTCGGGGGTGTATCGACGAGTATAATTGTACTAGATCCGGGTTTGGACTACCTAATTAGAATCTTGTCTTTTATTTTAAAGGTGAAATGACTTGCACGAATAGCCAGCCCCAGAGTGCTACACTTCTTTTAAACTCGTTACCTTTTGGTTAAGATACTAGAGAGAAGTCTGGAGGCAAGCCAAGCCTCTCAGCAATTGTTTGGATTACCCGGAATTAATTGCGCCTCTAACAGCTTATGTGGGAGGTTGGTAACTATAAAATGATTTATGCTAGTTGATCAGGCTATCATAATTTTATCAATTTATTTATTAATCCAACCTTCCAGCTGATTAGAGACTTTTTCAACCTGCAATCAGAGCCAAAATAACCTCGAATATTTTGCTTTTATCGCCCTTAAGACAACTCGTTACTCGCAAGGAGGGGAAAGTTAAAACTTCCCTTATCTTAAGGTTTCTTTATATTATTCTGTTATAAACTGTAAAGTAAGTCCTGATAATTCAGAGACCGATCTTTGACATGCTTACCTCTGTGCAATTATGGCCAGGGCCCCAAACGTGAAGCTTTAGAGAAAACCTGAAAGAATCAGGATTATGTTTCTTTTTCAAAAAAGGTTTATTACAAAATCAAAGTACAAAAATGGGTAGATGAAAAAACAACTGCTATCCCCCACGGAGGAATTAGTTCAAAATGATTAAATAAGAGTTAGTTTACACCAGCTCTTGTCTTCTCAGAATCTCCCCAAGAACCAAGCCCTCTAGCTCTGCTTCTCTCCAAAAAACTGCCTGTCATCCCCCATCCAGCAGGACGGGGGATGACCCCTCCAAATCTGCTCTGTCTCTTCTTGTCGTCTGCCCCAGCTCTCTCAATCTGATCTGAGCTGCATCCTTTTATATCATTTCTGAGACTGCTCTAAACAATGTAAGAGTCACAAGTCATTCTCTCCTGACAGTTTAGGTCAAGGGGTCATTTACCAGATACACTTTTTTAGCTCTACATAAGACATTTGGTATCTTTTTTCACTACATGCAGTATTCACATGAGGGCACAAAAGTTACATTCTGCACTCCTGGAATGAGAGCACAGGTCATAAATCTTCATGTTGGTAGCAAATTGTAGATCTTCCTCCAGCATTCCTGAGAGCTTCTGGGTCCAGTTGGACTTTTCCTCACTCCATGCCAGTCCTTCTTTTCCCGCCAGAGGTGGAGTTAGGGGCGGGCCCAGGGGTGTGTCCATGGGTGGATCCAGAGAAGACAGCCTGTCTTTTGACCCTTTGCCTAGTTCTGTCCTCACCAGCAAGTCCTGAACTATTGTCCTCTTGACCCTTGTGTGACCCTTGTCTCTGACCACTGTTTCTAAGCCTTGACCGATTGCTCGGACTTGCAACAACGTTATATTTTACACGTATAAGCTTCAATGTAGATGCATAACGAGACTTTTACTTTTTTAATTGTGTTAATAATGGTTAAGTAAATATTTAAGAGCGTTACTACCTGCTTGCCACTGAAGCTGCAACTACTAAGACACTTTAGATAACTGCTTTGGATTTATAAACATTGTAGATATCAGCTCGATAGCTGCAGATAGTTGCATTTAAACTGAAATTTTGCCCCTGAAGTAGCTGCCGGCTAATGATCCACCAACCTTTTTAAAATACCGCTCTGCATTCTGGGAAACTTTTGACCCAGGCCAGGATAACGCCATGGATAACATTGGATAACACCATGGTGGTTTCTGATGATGTATCTCCTAGGAATCTGGGGCAGGACCAAGGCATTAAGGCGAGGTTCCTTGACATTGAGAAACACCCCAAGCGTACTGACTGAGCAGCATATCTGGCTCCAGAAAGTTTTCATAGTTTTGGAATTCCATTGGACCTTGAAAAGATTCAGAGGTCCTGGTTCAAATGTAACAAAGCAGGTCCAGAACGGAGCCTCCACCAAGTTCTAGGTTCTGCAGAAAATACAAAAAATGGAGCTGAGAGCAGGGCTGTGAGGGCGAGGGCAGATAACGGACGCCCAACAAACTCTGAACTGATGTAGCTACGAGCTAACTAAGCTAACCAAAGCTAACAGAGGTTGGCGGTCGCTTGTAGCCAAAAAAAAAATATCGTGGTTGAGCAACTCTGCTGCATTCTGCCTTCTTGACTTTAACACTTTTAGCATGAGGCCAAGGCTGAGGTCTCCCCTAAGGCAAGCAGGAGGCTAGCTGCTAGCACTAGCACTGATGGCTACATGTCAATCAAAGGGACACACCCCTAATGAGTGACAAACAAATGAACCACCTCAAAGTTGCCATGACTGTAAACTAGATATACTGAACCAAAAAAATTTGTGAGTGTAAACATGTTTAATTCTGCTGTGAAGTAGACTTTTTAACATGGGACTTGCTCCTTTCTGGAGCCAGCTCCTAGTGGATGAGGGTGGAACTGCAGTTTTTGTCAGTTCCTTGTTGGCCTTTCTTTCAGCAGGGGGAGTTTGCCTACTTGGCAATGGTCTTCTAACCCTTCCCTTTATGGTCAATGATAGTTGTTCTAATCTCCTGAGACAGCTGTGGTCCATGTCCAGCTGGGTACACACCCTGATACCAAACAGCACTGTGACTACCACCCAGCCTTTAAACAGGCAGACTGACTGATGGCCAGCCTGAAGACGCCTGAGTCTATCGTGTCCCTGTGGACACATTCGTTCATTTCTCTTCTGAAGGAACCGTTGTTTTAGTCAGATCAGTTTCATTCATTGTTTTAATGATTTGCTTGAACAGCAATTCAAAAGCAGAATCCGAATATTTCATTCATTTTTGTTGTTGAGAGTGTAATCTCTTCAGCCATCATTGGCTGCAACACTGACCGCTACTGGAGATCCTTCCTGCCAACAGCCATTGTAATATACAAAAACTCTTTGATGACTTGATTATTATTATTACTCTGAGCTACTACAGCAATCAATTTCCCTCTGGGATTAATAAAGTATTTTTTAATTGAATTGAATTTCACCACAACCTCACTCAGCTCGTGGAAAACTCGGACACGGCTGTTGCTGCAGATGGAGGTTTTATCGATCTTAAGCTTAGAAATCTGTCTGGTTTTCAGAGTTTTGCTTCACAGTCAGACAAAAGCAAAACTCAACATGTGATCATTCTTTCCATCAACCTGACATATATTCCCCAAAACTAAAGTCCCTTCGGTTTGTCTGAAGCTACGATTTCATGTGAAACAATGAACAAGGTCACTGACAGCGAATGCAGCAGCTTGACACCATGAGACTGGTATTCAGTCGGTCTAATGACATCACTGGCACACACTTAAAGCTCATCTCCCTTAAGACTGTTCAACATAATGGCTTCTTATTTCATCTAAAACCTGCAATGCCTTTTGCTTTATTTATTATTGAAGCTTTTTTAGAATTAGTGCACAGCTAAAAGGCGATGACTCTATAATCACGTGTTAGCATTTACAAGTAGAGATAACAGTGATGTAGAAAATAAAATGTGATGAAATGCCTTCTACTACTTCCACCACACAGAGGAATGGTCGTGGTGTGGAAACTCTGATCCATCAGCTGCTCCAGGATCCGACTGAACAAATGTTGATTTCACATAAAAACATAAGAAATAGATCTTTTTGAAAACGATGCCCTAACAGCATTAATGTTAAGTCGTTGTGCTGCACCAGCACTATGACAGCGTGCACTGTAAAACACATTTGTTGTCTATTTGCGGTGCTCTTTGTGCGATCAGCGTGTGAGATTTAGTGCACTGAGTCTCTTTTCTCATCTTCACTATTGTACGCCACTGAGAGGCAAAGACGCTGCAATCTCAATCTCTTTCCCAGGCTGGAGCTCCAACCCACCGCCTGCGAAGCCTCAGTCCTCTTTAGTCGCCCTCTTTTTAGCCTCCTTTTACCTTCCTCAGACAATAGATGCTGCCCCACTCCACACAGCAGCCCCCCAAACACAGAGTGAATAAAGTTAGTCCAACATGCAGCCCTTAAACCACCTCCAGACTGCTGCCGGGCACCCACACTGAAGATTTGTTTGTTAATAGTCCAATTAGATAATTGCCATCTTTCACTCCTTTTCCTCTCCGTTTCCCATAAAGGCATGAATGGCACTCAAGGAGGGGTGCAGCTTGAAGAGGGCTTCTGGCCAGCTAAGGTGACAAGAAGGGCCAGGGACTGTTCCCTGCACTAGGCCACTGGTTTGAATTGAATCATTGTGGCCTAATCAATGGTCTTATTGGATTACTGGCCACTGCTGTGTTCAGAGATATTGTTGCACTGACAATGAAAATAGCTAAGAGTTGGTGGGAGGTGGAGAGGGGCAGGGGCCTGTCCAGGGGTATTCGTGTGAGCTCAGGAGTGTAGACGGCCCGGCACTAATGACACGTTTTCTTCCCTTTTTTGTCTTCCTGAAACACGCAGGTTAAGCTTATGAGAGACGCCCGGTTTGGCTTCTGGAGCGAGATCATTAAAATAGTGCTGGTGAGACGTTAACAACCCGGACCTCGGCCGGCTGCTTTCTGATCAGAATTGCGGAGGGGTCCGACATCCCTGCATTTCTGAACCAAGCTGGGTTGTGATCACGCTCGTAAATGAAGCTGGATGAGGATTTGTCAGGGATCTTTTCTTTTCTCTCTCTCCTCCTCCGACTCTCTCCTAGTTCCTCCAGCATCATAGTGGTGAGCGATGCACATTGCAGACTTGTGTTGATTTTCAAAGGGAAAACCAGGATCAAAGTTCGCTGACATGCTGCGACAATCAGGCGTGCTGCCTGAAGTCAGGGGGGGGGTTGTCCGCCTGCCTTCTGCACGTTGAGGAATGAAGCACCTGGGAACTTTTTTGGGCTTTGGAAGACTCGTACCTCTGTGATTGTGTGCGTCTGGGAAGGCTTGGTGGCAAGACGAGACCAATCATTTGCCTTGATTCCATGGGCTGAGAGCAGGCAAACTGTCGGGGATGGGACGAGCAAACCCCGCCATCAAGACCTGATCTATTTCCACAAACAATGTAGTTTATTCATGAGGTTACGCAAATGTGGAGGCAGCAAAATTACCGTAATCAGCAGAAACAGCGAGTGCGCATCCATGGCTATGATTATTTGGAGATCATCTATCAGCCCAATGTCTATGTAACGAGGAAAGGGGGGCATTGAATTACTGTTAAGTTTCACTGAGAAGTCCATGATCATTGGGCTAGGGAACTTGATCATTGGCAATAAGGCTCTTCGGTCGGGTGACAAATTATTTCACCTGACATTAGGTATCTGACTCTGGCTGCTTCAAAGCTGCTGTTTGAAACTAAAACTTACGCTGATCCTCGCCGCCGCGTCCTCTCTGGGCTCTTTTTTTCACCTGACAAAAGGAAAATCTGAGGCGGCGGAGCTGCAGATCTAAGAGGATAAAGTGAGCATGGAGGCCAGGTACAGCCAAGACACAGAGGCGATGGTGCTGAAGAACGGAATAAAAGACGGGAGGGACGGCAAAGATTCCCAGAGCAGCTTGTCCAAAAGCTTCCTGAAGGAACAGCACGACTCCTTTTCCTCCTCTGGGACCATCGACAACTGCGAGAAGAGCAGGGGGAATGCAGGGGACCCCGACTACTGCCGGAGAATCCTGGTCCGAGGTGAGGCTGCACTTACGTTTCATCTCCCTCTTTGAAACTTTGTCGTCTGAGTTCAAAACTCGACTTTATCTGGAAAAATTCCCTCTGACAAAAATGTTTCTGCATCAGAACAAATCAGAGATTTTAAACCCAAAGCGTCAAAATAAATGTTCAGAATGAATGACCCAGGAAGAGGCTGCACTCTAATTCCTGCAGGTTCAGTTTCCAGAATTCGTCGTTCAGGGTTTTCATTTCAGTTCTGGTAGAAAATCGGCAACAATGTTAATTTTTCATCTACATTAAAATTGTAGCTTTAAATATAAATGAAGTAAAATAAACTGATTTTTTAAAATTAAAAGCAACATTTTTTCAAAAGGAAAAAAAATGTCTTACTTTATGTTAAATTAAAGATTCAATTATAAAAAAAATTTACTTTTTGATAATTGAATGAAGAAAGTTAACTGATTTATTATTATAAGTGTATTAAAATTAACACTTCATCCATAAAGGGAAATTATTCTTAAAACAGAAATGAATGATTAATTTGTCTTTATTTTAATTTTATTGTAAAACAAACAAATTTAATATAAATTGTGTGAAATTTAAAACTCAGTGAAACTGAGGTTTTTCTCACAGCCTTAAGTGTGTGTGTGTGTGTGTGTGTGTGTGTGTGTGTGTGTGTGTGTGTGTGTGCGTGCGTGCGTGCGTGCGTGCGTGCGTGTGTGTCTGTGTGTGTGTGTGCGCACGCGCGTGTGTGTGTGTAAACCATGTCTGAATAATATTAAACCACAAACAGCGAAAGGTGGATTTCTAGAATCAGAAGCAAAAAAAAAAAAAGTTATTTATCAGACGTTCATCTTGTCAGATTTTTGAGTTTTGTTTAACAAAATCAATCACAAACTCAGCGTGCATAATATTAATACAGATAAATGCATCAGTCTGCACACGTTCATTTTATCTCTCAGGTACATTTTAATGACAAAAGCAACAAATAAAAACACATTTATTGATATATTTTCTGGAAAATTGCACCTTTTATTTTATTTACTGAGATGCTTTGATAAAAGGTTTTTATTTTTGCTGCAGCACTGTAGAAAACTTTAGCTTTCACCTGTTTAAAAAAACTGCTATTGCCTCTGAATTCATCATCAAACTTTTAATTGACCAAACTATCATATTTCACAACCACCTAATTAAACAACTGCAACAAAATATTAATGATATAATAATCATTATTATTATTACAACAACAACAACAACAACAACAACAACAATAATAATAATAATAATAATAACAATAACAATAATAATAATAATAAATTATTAGTATTATCACTATTATTATTGATGTTGTAATTATTATTATTATTTTTACAACATCAATAACAACAAAAACAACAACAATAATAATAATAATAATAATAAATGATTAGTATTATCATTATTATTATTGATGTTGTAATAATTATTATTATTTTACAACATCAATAACAACAAAAACAATAATAATAATAATAATAATAATAATAATAATAATAATAAATGATTAGTATTATCATTATTATTATTGATGTTGTGTGCCGGTGAGGCAGCCTGTATTCTGATTGGTGGAAGCTGTCCTGGTTTCAGATGCTAAAGGTTCGATCAGAGAGATCATTTTGCCGAAGGGGCTGGATCTGGACCGACCAAAACGAACCCGGACCTCGTTCACCGCTGAGCAGCTCTACCGTCTGGAGATGGAGTTCCAGAGGTGCCAGTATGTGGTGGGGAGGGAACGGACCGAGCTGGCCCGTCAGCTCAATCTGTCTGAAACTCAGGTAATTCATCACTTCTCATTAAATCCATCAATCATTTATTTGAATGTAAACTGATTTTTTTCCATGCAAAAAGAAAATCTTCTTGTTTTAATGGAACCGAAAGAAATCACAAACACCTGAAATCTTATCTTTAGTTATTCATATTTTGTTGTTTACTAAAGGCTTCCAGCTGTTTGAGGTTCAGTTGATGACATCTGCATTATTTAGGACCAATAGTTTTGTTTCATGCTCTTTATAATTTATTTAGTTCAACACAAACATATGTTCACAGGACTGATCTGAAGCTAATTGTTAAGCTCTAAACAGGCCGTGGGTTTTTCTTCATGTCATTAAAAATCAGAGCACTTAATGAAAATTATATATATATATAATTTATTTTCACAAAAACAATAATGTTTGAAATATCTCCTTTGATATGGGATGAGGGCTGCAGTAATATTTGTTTAAATCAGATTCCTGGTTTTAAAGTTCGGCAACCAGGAATTCTGGAAGGAAAGGAAAAGGTTTAGTTCTGACACAAATCCTTCAGACTCAGATCTGAGTGTGAGATGTTAGAGGGGTCATGTTAACTAGGGGCTAACTAGGGGTTTGTTCACTAGGGTGTTTACTAGGGTTATGTTCTCTAGGGATTTGTTCACCAGGAGTGTGTTCACTAAGGTGTTTACTAGGGGTTTGTTCATCATGAGTGTGCTCACAAGGGATGTGCTGACTGAGACTGTGTTCACCAGAGCTGTGACTGCTGGGAGTGTTTTCACTAGGACTGTAATAAACAGCACTGTGTTCACAAAATGTGCATTCACTAGGAGTTTGATCAAAAGGAGTGTGTTCACTAGGAGTGTGTTCACTGAGGTGTTTACTAGGGTGTTTACAAGGGTTATGTTCACTAGAAGTTTGTTCACTAAGAGTGTGTTCATTAGGGTGTTCACTAGGGTTATCTTCATAGGAGTGTGTTCACCAGGAGTGTGTTCACTAGGGAATTTACTAGGGTCATGTTCACCAGGAGTGTGTTCACTAGGGAATTTACTAGGGTCATGTTCACCAGGAGTGTGTTCACTAGGGAATTTACTGGGGTTATGTTCACTAGGAGTGTGTTCACTAGGAGTGTGTTCAGCAGTAATGAGGTGGTTTCTATTTTTTTGACTCCAGAATCATTCTGCCATAACGTCATAATGAACTATCTTATCTTTTATTTAAATGATTTAATTCATTAGACGTTTCACTGCCTTCTTTCATTTTTCTGCACCAACAGCTAATAGTGACACAATGCGCGGTGCCGGCGAGGTGTTAATGTGTTGGTGCTTTCAGCTCGGCTGGAGGAGGTTGACCTCCAAAGAAGGTCAGATAGAGGTCAGCCAATTCTCACAAAACAACAAACACGGTTCCCGTCATTAAGGGAGGAACTCACGACCTGAACTTTTTACTTGTCAATGTTTTATTAGTTCTATTTTTTCCATTAAGCAGCTGCTTTTTAAACTGGTTTTGAGTGTGAAGCGGTTTTATTTTGCTCAGCAAAGGTGAGCAGGAATAACCTTTGCTCCCTCTTTAGTCGAGACAGAACCAGGACTGGGTTCTGCTGCCTGCTCTTCTGCCGATGAAATGCCTTTAATGACAACACGGCAAAATGAAAGCGTTGTTCTTGGCCTCAGGTAAGGCGGTCTAAGGAAAGGTGGCCATTTGTAGTGAACACTTAAATATCTTTGTTTGAACCTGCAGCTTCTGTGGATCTTCCCTTAAATGAACACAACATTCCTTCTGAGTGTAGAGAGTGAGGATGGAGCGTGGGGGGGTGAGACGCATCCCAACAGCCGGAAGAGATGAAGCATCAAAATCAGCCGAACAAACTCGATTTATGCGAATCGGCTTTGACTAATTTAACTTGTCAGATATGATCTTGATTCATGTTTTCATAGAATCGTTTATTTTTCTGATTATCTGAGAATTTAAACATTAGAAACCTTTTAGAAGAGTTTATGTCTGTAGTTATTATGTCATAACCACCGTTTAGCCTGTTTATTACTGTCTTTGAACTTTTTTAAATTAAAAAGCATCAAATGTACATTAAAGACAAAACAAAGGTTTAACATGAGAGAAGCTGATCAATAATCCGATCAAACTCAACAGCAGCTTTTCACAACTTTCTCAGATAAAAACAAAGAGTTTGTTGGATTTGGGATTCTTTTAAAACTGATGAATCGTTCGGATCGTTCGGATCGTTAGTCAAGCATGAAGCTTTTGTTTCGCTGAGTTGGTCAGAAGGTGGTGAACGTGTGAACCACTTCCTTAGAGGGAAGTTTTGGTAAAATTAACTTTCACATTTTTTTGTCAACCGGTCGTCTCTGTGTGTGTGTGTGTGTGTGTGTGTGTGTGTGTGTGTGTGTGTGTGTGTGTGTGTGTGTGTGTGTGTGTGTGTGTGTGTGTGTGTGTGTGTGTGCGTGCGTGTGTGTGTGTGTGTGTGTGTGTGTGTGTGTGTGTGTGTGTGTGTGTGTGTGTTCTGATTTGCCAGCTGATCCGTAAATTTTATCTGGAACATTCTTGTGTAATCTCTCGGTTCTCAGATGTTCTCTTGTTCTTTGCATATGGAGATGAAAGCCTACAGAACCCCGACAAATGGAAGTTATGGTTGAAATCTTTGCTTCCTGTGACACAAACACCTGAAGTATTTTCACAAAGTTGACGTGTGTGTGTGTGTGTGTGTGTGTGTGTGTGTGTGTGTGTGTGTGTGTGTGTGTGTGTGTGTGTGTGTGTGTGTGTGCTTTCCAGGTGAAAGTGTGGTTTCAGAACCGCCGGACCAAGCAGAAGAAGGACCAGGGGAAGGACTCTGAGCTGCGTTCTGTGGTCTCAGAAACAGCAGCCACCTGTAGCGTCCTGAGACTTCTGGAGCAGGGCCGGCTGCTGACTCCTCCGGGCCTGCCGGGCCTCCTGCCCCACTGCGGTGGTGGCACTCTGGGCACCACCCTGCGCCCCCCCTCCATCGCCATGGCCAGCAATAGCAGCAGTGGGGGCAGTAGCGGAGCAGCGGGCGGCAGCCCTCCTCTACCCAGTGTCACCAGCTCAGGGACAGTGGTCGGTCTGCAGAGCTCTGCAGCCTCTCACGGCCTGTTCAGCTTCCCCATGCCGTCCATTCTCAGTGGTGTTGCCTCCCGTATTTCCTCCAACCCCCTCTCCATGGCTGGCTCGCTGGCCGGAAACCTGCAGGAACTTTCTGCTCGTTACCTGAGCTCCTCTGCCTTCGAGCCTTACTCACGGACCAACGGTAAAGAATCCATGGACAAGAAAATTCTGGAGTGATTGTTTGTGGATTGTGGATTCCTGTTGCCTCTGGATGCATTTGGGTTGTTTTCTCGGTTGATCTTGTCTTTAGTTTTGCCTGTGTCTGTCATCCGTCGTGTCATGTTCTGTAACAGCTTTCACATTCCTGCACATCTGGCGCCTTTACGTGAAGAAAACAAAGGTCTGCACAATCTCAACTGCAAATAAAGAGGGGTGGAAGATTTTTGCACAAAATGATCACACAGGACTTTTCTTACGAAGAATCAGAAACATGACCAGAGGTTTACAGATCTGTCAGAGTTTGTGTTAATGATGTCCCTAAAGTCCAGCTGCTAGAAGACAAAGAAGCTCCCGCGCTGCAGAAGCAGCGCCTCACGGTGTGCAGCAGGAAGTCCGAGTCTGGTCACATGATGGTTCCTCTCTGAAACGTGTTTATCTGTTGATAGAAACTTTAGATGTGGAACACGAGGTTCCACCTGAGCAACCCGAAGGATCCCAGTCAGCTAAGCTCAGTTTAAAGCGTAGAACGCAGCGCCGTGATGAATGAAGCAGGGAGGAGACGTGCTTCTGTGTGAAGGTCGCTGCAAGGTCAGCGTCAGATGAAAATGCTTTTGATGTGGAAAAGCAATTAGCATCAGCAGACGCGTCGCCGCAGCTCGGCTTACAAACCGCTCTTTTGTAAATCCGTGTCAGTCGGACCGAACCAAACGTGTTGTCGCTCAGTATGATAGTTGAATTGTTCGGTGTTGTTTTCTCTCCGGTTTGGTGAAGAGTTTGACATTTCACAGAGTTTTTTACCTTGTGGTATTTTTGTCTCCCGAGATGCAGCTCCTGATGTTTTAATTTCGTTTGTTTCCATCCTCCTTTTGTCTGTGCTTTAAAAAAACACTGTGACTTCTCCGGTTTTGGTGTACAGTTTCTTTTCTGTGTCGACGCCACAAATGAGTTGCTAAGAGACAACAGAAAAAAAACACTTTCCAGCATTAGTAAGTAACTTAATTGGATAAACACTTTGAAGGAACAGGGATTTTAATCACTGAGACAATATAATTACCTTTCTTTGAAAAAAAAGTCCAAACCTGCAGCCTTCACGACAGATTTAGGCAAACGAGGAGGATGAATGAATGAATGTCGTATAAAATACTGAATTGTACCTTAAAGTTGTTATTTTATTGTAAATTATTTGCCTCTGTAATTAATAGATTATTAGTATATTTGGAAACTGGTGAATGAATGAATGAACGAATGAATGAATGAATGACTGAATGAATTAGTGGGGTTGAGGAATCAATCTTGAGCTCTTTGGTGCTTTTGTCGTGAAATATCTTGAAGTTTGTGAAACGTTTGGTGCAAATGTGCATATATATGATGTTTATGGCTACAGACAAAGACCGCTGTGTTTTTCATTTTCCTTTCCTACGTGTTGCTCCAATGAACTTATGATAAATTTTATGACTGTTATACCTCCTATAAACCAGCCTGGTATGTGAGTCCAGTGATGCCGGACGGACCTGCAGAAGTGATTAACGAGCTCAGAGGAAGAACCAGCAGACATTATAAAGACATCAGTCACAAACAGATGTTCTGGATGGACAGATGTTGGAGTTTCCAACATTTAAAATCAAGCAAAGCTGCCAAAATAAGTCAAAAAGTTCAAACATTTCATTTAAACACCTGCAGGAAACTCGTGCATTAAAGAGTGAGCTCAGTTCCATGCAACCGTGCACGCCGTGAAAGAAGTGCACGTTTACTGACCAGTTGGAGAACTCACTTGTTTTAGATGAAGTGGGACAAGAACGACCGTCCCTCCATCCATTCATGTCTTCAACTGGTTTTTACGGCTCAGAGGTCACCACACAAAACCTGGTCCTTAATAAATTCATATTTAATATTTTTCTTTTTAGGTAAAACTCAGTAAAGAAGACAGTTTTAGCTAAAAAAATCACTTATTAAACAAGATCAGAGAGAAAATATTTCACTATGATAATAATTATAATAATAATAATAATAATAATAATTATTATTATTATTATTATTATTATTTATGTGAGCACTCCTGAGGTTGAACCTCACTAAACTGTCCAAATGCGTGTTGAGTCTCATTTACTGGTGTGTTTGTAATTCTATCTGCTAGTTCAGGTAAAAAGTAAACCCGAAAAAGGTGGAATGTTGGAAAATTCAGTGCAAAAACAAAAACATCTCTCTGCTGGAGATTCATCACTACGAACACCTTCTAAATAAAAAAAACATAACTTGTCTAAAACCAACACCACAGTTAAAGTATAAGATTAATATTTTCAGGATTTGTTTAAAATAGTATAATATAATATAATATAATATAATATAATCTATAATATAATATAATATAATTTAGTGTAATGTAATTTAACATAGTATATTATATAATGCTATGTAATGTAAGGTACTATAATGTAATGTAATAATAATAATGTAATGTAATCAACAATAATATCATATGAAATCATGATAATGAAACCATACAATGTAATATAATTTAATGCAATGGGAAACTGCTTTATGGTTTTTTGCACTGTCACCTCTTGCCGGTTAAATGACTCAGTCTAAGTTGATGGTTGTCACGGCGACGGCCCGCTCCTGTGACAGATGGAGCGTGCGTGTCCGGTTCTTTGGTGTTTTCATGTGAAAGAACTGCTGAACGTCTCTGATGGTTCTGACCCATCCATCACAGCCTCTCACCCAATGAATGCTGGGATATTTCCCACATTTAGCCTCTCATGAATAACATGAAGCAGGTGTGGAAACAGTCAAATGCATAATTTAACACAGAGGGATTTTATTCTTGAGTTTTATTTGTGAATTTTCTGCCAGAATCACACGCTAGAAACAAACTTGTTCACGACTATTGGAAACATCCCAGAAGAGTCCAAACAGAAAGTAGTACCCCCCCCCCCCCCCACACACACACACACACACACACATGCACCACCACCACCCCTTTTCTTTCTCCAACCTTGCACCAATTAGAAGGACATTGGGGGAGGGAAAGGTTAGGAGCTTAAAAGTGTGTGTGTGTGTGTGTGTGTGTGTGTGTGTGTGTGTGTGTGTGTGTGTGTGTGTGTGTGTGTGTGTGTGTGTGTGAGAGAGAGAGAGAGAGAGAGAGAGAGAGAGAGAGAGAGAGAGAGAGAGAGAAAGAGAGAAAGAGAGAGAGAAAGAGAGAGAAAGAGAAAGAGAGAGAGAGAGAGAGAGAGAGAGAGAGAGAGAGAGAGAGAGAGAGAAAGGGAGAGAGAGAGAGAGAGAGAGAGAGAGAGAGAGAGAGAGAGAAGACAGGCTTGTCTTTGCTGCAGACCACCAACACATTTTGTCCAACACAGCATCCTATTTTGGGCTGAGGTCTCAGGAGATGAATGGACTCCTACTTCCTGTCTTGTGTTTTGTTTACTAGCTGTGTGTTCTGACCCGGTCCGTCCTGGACCCTACATTAGATCTGCGGATTAACACTAACACGTTCTACTAAAGGACTGTCTCTTTTAACCGTCATCTAACAACATCCAGCAAATCTATAGGATTCCCCTGCAGGCGTTCCCAGCCTTGTTGACTCTTTTTCCTCACGAAATAATTAATTCCATTAGATAAAGGAAACCCCTGACAGGAAAGGATTCTGCCTGGTTTTCGGTGAAGTTTGATAAAATGCTGCAAAACTTTTAAACCACAGTTTTAGAATTAGTTTCCCGTGATGCTCCGATGGAGACCTGAACCATTCTGCTGCAAATGATCCCAACCGTTTCTACAGGCTACAAACTCCTCAATGTTCCACATGAACCAACAACGATTTAAGGAAGTGTTTTGTTTTCAAAGGAAACTTGTTTTGGAACAACAGCTCAAAAATTCCCTTGTTTAAAATGACTGAAAGATATAAAGTCTGGTTGTTTCACCAACGTGTGATCCTGCTCCAGAATTCCATCTAAAGCGTCTCAGAAACAGGAAAAACCAACATAATTCCATAAAACTCATGAAACATTACAGCATCCAGACACACACCGTCTTTAAACAAGTAGGATGTTTCTGCTCGTCTCACATGTTTCTGTGATGAAGGTATGAATGATTCTCATTTTACTTGTTGCAGCTACATCCTGTAAGAGCGATGAGCTAATGGCTAGTAATCCTAATATGGCCTCAGTCTCAAAAGCATCACATTGGTTTATGAAAAGTGCAGTTTTGCATAAAATTCTTTATGTTTTTGCAGAAATATTAAAGATTTCCTTGATGCAGGAGTGCTACGCATTGTTCACGCAGGAGAAATTCATGCTTTAAACAACCACAGCATTCCGTGTGTGTGTGTGTGTGTGTGTGTGTGTGTGTGTGTGTGTGTGTGTGTGTGTGTGTGTGTGTGTGTGTGTGTGTTGCCTAAGTGGCAAGGTGGATAAACGATGGCCCGGGTGGGATTCGATCCCCAGACTCCCGAATGAGTCACGCGCACTAACTAGTCAGCCAAAGAGACATCCTCGTGGCCAAGTAGCCAGGGCGTGTAATCAATCGGGATACAGTGACAGGATACTCACCCTGTCACACCTACAAGATGTAAACTCAACCTGCAAACAGGTAAGAAGGCAGCCATTCATAACTCTGATCCTTAAACACACCAGGAAATCTCCTTTCTGGAGGTTCTGGTTCAATGTTCAGTCTTCGCTCCTTATTTTCAGAATATTCTCGTTTCAACCTTCTGTGATTTTTTTGCTTCTCTGTCTAATTTAACGATGACTTTCACAGGTGAAACCATTCAGGTGAAACACCTGCTGCTTTATGGAGGTGCTCCAGGTCAGTGGATGATTCTTGGTGGTGACCCAGAACAAGTTCATGATCAGACGGGTCCAGATCACCTCCCACTGCAGCTTGGTTCGGATGCTGTGGTGCCTAAAGAACTGGGCGCCAGTTCTAACAAACTGTTGTGTTTGTCACAGTTTCTGAGATTGATCACCAGGCTGAATGGGAAAAGGAGAGTAAAACGGTCAACTGATGACAGGGTGAATGAGGTAACAGCTGAGGATGTGATGCTCTGGAGGTCTGAGGGAGCAGAACCAGGTTCATTTGGACTCTCGGAGATAGAGTTTTTGCTGCAGAGGGTGGGTGGAGCAACATGTGAGTGAGTTCTGATGTGCATCACTGGAACTGGGTAGCTGAGAGGCCTACAGGGTCATCCTGGGCAACAAAGTGGGATTTCTGGTTCTTCAAGAAGAACCCAGAATAATCATTTTTCTCATTTCCATCAAAACTACTCAGCTCTGGTTAATGAGCTGATGAAGGTGAGTCTTGGTTGCATTTGGACACCATTGGGCAGGTCCACCAGGAGGAGGTGCTGGATCAGATGGATGGATGGATGGATGAAGGGTGGATAGATGGATGACAGATGAGTGGATGAATGAAGGACAGATGGATGGATAGATGGATGAATGGATGAAGGATAAATGGACAGATGGATGATGAAAGGATGCATGGATGGATCAAGGAGGGATGAAGGGTGATAGATGGATAGATGGACGAATGGATGGATTAAGGATGATAGATGCATAGTTGGATGAATGAAGGATGGATAGATGGATGAATGGATGATGGAAGGATGAATGAATGGATCAAGGAGGGATGAAGGATGATAGATGGATATATGGATGAATGGATGAATCAAGAAGGAATGGATAGATAGACAGATGGATGATGGAAGGATGAATGGATGGACCAAGGAGGGATGAAGGATGATAGATGGATAGATGGATGAATGGATCAAGGAGGAATAGATCAGTTTTATGAACCATAATTTCCCTAAAAACCACTCATATTAGTTTATTCTTGTATTTGTTTAGGTGGCGTTTCGTCTTTGCTACAGAGAGAGGTTACAAAAACACAAAGCACGATGGGTCTTCACAAACCCAGAATCCTGTTTTCTGCCCTCAGGAGTGTGAGGTATTAGACATGGATGTCATCTATGGTTCCGGCCTGTTTCTGTCTTTCTGTCTCCTTTTATTAGCACCTCACACACCATCATTTAATTATGTTACACTAACATAATTAGACATGTCTTTGTTGATGTCATAATTATTTCAAAGTTCTTTGGGAACTAAAACAGGACCATAAATGCCTGTTTTAGGTGAAAACCATTATTTTAGCTCACAAACGGGCCAGCGCCTCAGGAGGGGAAAGCGGTGAGCTACCAACACTGTTTATAGTGGGGACGGTGGGCTGCTGACCTCTACTCGAGATGTTGTGGATCGGTGAACGGAATACTTCTGTCACGAAGTCTTCCTCCTCCTGATCTCCTCTGCAGGTCCGAATGGCGCAGCACTCCATTTCCCAGCATTCCCGTCACCAACGCTACTCGGTGACGTCACCACGTGGAATCTATATAAGGAACTGTCACCGCTGAGCTGTCATTCAGTCATCGTCTCATGACAGATGCCAAACCGACCGAACCAAACTATTCCAAATCAATCCAGGAAAGAGAACTTTCCACGCTGTCTGCACCCCAGCACGACAGCTTCCTACCTAAAGGAACCACAGTTCAGCCTTGACTCCATGCGAGTGCTGTATCGCCGTTCCTAAAAGCAAGCTGCGTTCCTGTTAGAACCAAACGCCAGTCACTCCGCGTCTGGGTCACACAGCCACGCTACAATCACCTCCGCTACGCTTCAGCTCAGCCCATCTGCCCTGACAGGACGACTGAATCTAAAGTTGACCCAGCGGAGATCGCTCAGTTGCGTGCAGAAGTAGCACAGCTGAGCAGCCGATTAGAACGCCAGGAGGCGGAAAAGAACCAGCTTTGTGCCGTCGTGGACCGCCAGGCGTCCAAACTCGAATCTGTCACCGAGCTGGTCATCCAACTCTCAACGTCGCTCC